TGGCGTTCCAAATATACTCCATGTTTCTGGCCAGTGGCTTGGGAGAGGAGTAGTAAGTCAACAGCTTGTATGGGCGCGCACAAACTACCGCTGTCCTACCACAGAGCACACTTGACACGCCGCCTGTGGACCAGAGCACTTGCCGAACACACACAACCGGCTGTTAGTGGTTTTGGAGGAGAGGAGCCGGCAGCCGCTTCTCTCGCCCTGTGCAGGACCAGAGCAGACCTCAGCGTCATGAAGACAGGCCTGGGGTGTACTGTATATGTTAGACAGTATGTTTAGTGTGGCACCTATAAAGACATTAGAGAGAAAGGATTACAGGACTATGTTGTATTTATTTGAGTGATGAATGAGTTTAAAGGTCCCATGTTACGCAAAATTGACTCTTGTGAGCTTTGAGCCATTTTATAATGTTGTTATGTAATTAAAAAAACAAAAACACACATACATGGAGTTGTGTTTTGTTTCAGTAAACCTGCATTATTGGTCTGTCTGCACTTCCAAAGCTCAAAATGTAAAGTTCTACCTTATGATGTTATGTAGTGGTAGTTTTCAAGTTAACATTTACCTTTTTACATTTAGTTCAGTAGTGATTAGCAATTCCAGGGCTGATTCAAATGACTGTGACAGTGAAGGTGTATGGCGTTTAAAACACAGTGGAGCACTTCCTGTATTACCACATGACATTACAAGATGGAAAAGAGTGTTTTCCATTTTTGTTCCGAGCCTAAATATTTAGGATTTGTGTGTCAAACATGTGTGAATGAAACAAAACAAAACTCTAGGTATGTTTGTGATGAGGAAACATTATAACATAGATCAGAAAATAACATAATACAGGCCCTTTAAACTTTGATAGGCCTACTTACTCATATTTGAGTAACATGGATTTTAAGTACTGTTTTGAACATATTATAGCTATGTTTATGATTCAATTTCCTGCTTTTTGTTTTGAAAATGTTAAATTAGAAGAGAAAAATGTTAAGTTACAAGAGATTTTTTGTTGGTTATACTACTACTATACTGGATCATATTATAGCTATGTTTACTATTCAATTTCCTGCTTATCGTTTCAAAACTGTTAAGTTAAAAGAGCTATTTTTTGTTGGTTCTACTACTATACTACTACTGCTACTAATACTTCCCCCACTACCACCACTTCCACTACTAGTTCGCTGTAAATATGCATGATTGTAGCCAAAGCTATCTTTTCAATATGCATTGTTCGTTCAATAAATAAAAACACATACTACTACTACTACTACTACTACTGCAATATTCTAAGTGAAGGGCATTTTTGGCTCCTCTCTATCTCGTTTATAAGCTTTTTAGGACTCCCTGTTATCAAAAGCAGAACAATGCTTTTTGAGTAGCGTTTTGTAGTAAAACTGTTCCAACTTTAGCACAATCTTTAACTAACACCAACTTCTGATAAAGCTGTTCAGTTGATACTTAAAATATCTTGCAAAAATACAAAAATCACACTTTCCAGGCTACGATTAGAACATTGCATTCTGGGTAGAAAAGAAAACAAAATGTAGCCATAAAGCGTTCTTGTTAAAAAGCTGCAGAGTCGGGGCTTCTTATGGTCCAGCCAGTTAGTCTAAAAGTTTCCATCAAAGCCTCTGCGAACTGCATGGAGTAATTACCTCTCACACAGCTAACGCTCCCAGGCCCTATTACTGATACTACTGTTTGTGTCTATGGGGTTTTGAAAGCGCGTGTGTATGTGCATGTATTTGCTCCTGGTCAGTCTTTCCATGTGTGTGTGCCTATAAAGTAGTCCAGGAGTTTTCTTATTTTTTTTTTTTTCAAACATAAACCAGTGCGCATGTGGAGTGATAAACCCCCCAAATGTTATGACGGGTCTCTCCCATAGACTCCTGCTCTGCTGCTCTGATGACGCCACCGCCAAGCCCACCCAAAGTGTTGTTCCACCGGTAAAAATAGTCTCGGGGATTACAGATGCTAAACAATAAGATGGAAAAGGTTTAGAGGAGCAAAAACACAAGGACTAAATACGCTTTCTCAGTCGTTCTCTTGGCAGCCATATTTGAATTTATAATATTTATGCTTTGCTTCCACTTCCACAGATGTTTAAATCGTCTCTCTGTGACTATTTCTGGTCCTTTCATTCCTCCCAAAGTCAACAACAAATTAATCTGTGTTTTCAAACAATCCTTCTCTTTTGTGGCCAATAAAATGTTATTTAAGTGCTAATTTTCAGACAGCATTAGTATTTGTTACCACTGTGCCTTAAGAAGCTGTAAAGCCCTGAAGAATTTACTAAGACTGGCTTCACTGGGGACTTTGAGTGTCTTATGATTGACTGTGCAGTTTTCTCAAAAGGCTTTCGTGGAAAAAATACCCTGTTACTGGCCATGTTTTGGGATAAATTGCAGCAATAAAATGACAAATACAATCTTGTGGATATTAAGACGACTCATATTAACATCTAAAATTTGTTGCAAGTTAATGTTGCAATGTTGAGAACCCGCTAACTGGCAACGAAATAGGCTGACGACACAAGGCGGTTATAACCATCATCATAACTTAAGTCGTATAAGTTTCCAGCGTCGGAGTTCAACGGCCTCTTCCAGCTTTATTCATAACCTAACCATAAGTTTATAAATCTCTCACTCAGCGTGGATCTCAAACGTGTTTCCACATCTCACCACATCATGGGATGGTTGTACTTTTCCAGTGAAGGTCTGAAAAGGAGGCCAGTAAAATTTATTTGGGCATGCAGTTCCTAAACCGTGCCAGCTGCGTATAGCAAGACACATAAAACCCCAACCCAAAAAGAAGACAAACTGTGCTAAGTGTTCATAAAATGTCTTTGCCAAGGGAACTTTGAATTGAGAGATTAAGGAACAGGACGACTGCTGCTGCTACTGATCTTAATGTAAATGCAGTGGTTCAGTACAGACTTAAGGTGAGAAATTATGTTCTGCTTCTACCACTTATTTTGGTAATAAATGTAATTTTAAAAGTTACAGCATTTATTTAATTGTAGTCTATAACCAACAATATTTCCTGTAAATTACAAAAATAAATTTGAAGATACACCATGTAATTTTTCTGTTAAAGGTGTATTGTGTAACTTTTCTGGTGGAAGGTCTGTCAAATGATTTTCTCCATGGAGATGTTACTGCTTTGTCTGGAATGTTCCACAGTATAGTATTAAACCTTTCTATCATCATGGAGACCAAATCACACCAAGTTACAGGTCAGATCTGCAAAGAGGCAACCCCACTCACAGTCAGAATGCTTGTTTTTCTAGGTATTTTTGAGCTATAAAACCAACTGTAATTGAATAAATGTAAAGTAAAGTTGTTTAATGTCATACTGTGGAACATTCCAGGCAAAGGAACGATATATCCATAGAAACAAGCAGGTGACGGCCCCCCAACCAAAAAGTTACACAGTGCGTCTTTAAAGGGTCTCCATAGAGATGTTATCTTTCCACCGTATAGAATTAAACAAATCCATCTTGCATTTATTTTATTACCAGTGTTTGTTTTGCTCCTTGACCTGTTAAAAACAGGAGTAGCCTCTAGAGATCTGACTTGTAAACTGGCATCACCCACTTGTCTCCATGGATATAGATAAACTTAATGCCATACTGTGGAACTTTCCAGGCAAAGCAATGCCATCTTCAAGTATGGAACACACCCTATAACAGTGATAGTCACATAATATAGCTATGGTAATCTATAATACAATGTAAGGAAAGTGAGCTTTACACTTAAATGCCCTACTGTGACATTTCTACAGTCAAACAGTTGCGATTTGTGCCTTGATCTAAAGAGGTCTGTATTGCCTACTGTCTAATCATGCATACAAAGGCCATAGGTCAAGCTAACCATCCGGCACAATCCAGAGATCATTAATTTACAGAGATTTTCTACAGATGGTCTTCCCAGACTTGATCTATTACACTCTAACACTCAGTCAAGTAGAGCAGACTGGAGGTGGGGATACTTATGCATTTTAATTCACAAGGCAGAGGAAGTGTCCACCATTTTTAGTCAAAGTTCTGGTGTTAGAAGGTGAAAATTACCGTAGTGTGACTGTGCAGTTGTCAGCGCTGGAGCTGAGTGATGATGAGTAATACGTGTCTGAACTTTCAATTTGCTGCTCACCACTCAGAGGGCCGCTGAGTGCTAATCATGGAGAAATATGAATGGAGCATGGAGCCTCTGTAAAAAAGAAAGAGAGGTGCATTTATATTGTCTTTTTTTATGTCAAGTCGTTAAAGAGAGCTGGCTTTTTCTAATTAAAATGATTAAAGGTGTGCTGCATCACTTTTCTGCTTGTTTGCGTTCACGGAGGCTCTGCATAGAATGTTTCACAGTATGGCAATGAACTAAACTATCTGCATGGAGACAACCTGGTAACGCCATCAGGCTTAAGTTATAGGTCAGATCTGTGGAGAGCTGACCCTTCTCACAGTAACAATGCATTATTTTCCGTGTATTTTTGAGAAATAAAAACACCTGTAATTGATCAGCTACAAGATAGACAAGATACCATATTGCTGAACATTCCAGACAAAGCAATAACAATATCTCAATGGTGCCAGACCCCAGAAAAGTTTCATAGTGCACCTTTAAATAAAACAAATATAGATCAGTTGTTGTCCAACAGTCTACATATGATCATAGTTAGACTTGGTGTAAGCCTGGTCTAAATAAACAGACTGACTTGTGAATAAATATATTTTTAAAATTAATATTGGCATAATAAGTACTGTGGAAAAGCCCTGAGGTTCCAATTCCTTGTAGTAAATAAACAAATGAATGCGTTGCTTGTTTTTTTAATCAAGGTAAGTACATTTCAATCATTCTAATCATGTTACAAAGAGCTAATTAAGTTGCTTGGTTGCTTTCTTACAGTATATGCTCTAAATAAACTGTACCTTTTACATAATGATAGTGTAGCTCCATCTAGTGGACACGACGGTGAACAACACCCAATTATTAATTATTTCGTCATCACTGTGCGCCTTCCTCTCTCGTCGCAGCAACATGTGAAACAAACATGTTGAAAAATAGTTCTTCTGGTATTTAATACTTTAATTGTCTACTATATTTAAATAATAGGACACCGAATATACGCGGGTACTTAAAGATCGTAGCATACGGTTTAATTGCTAAAAAGCGAGATTAGCCTAGCACACAAGGACATTGGGCTGTTTTATGTACTTTTAGTTGCATATCTTTAATACTTTAACATGGACAACGCACAAGAAAACGAGATCGCGCTACACGGAGATGAAGAAATAGTTGAAGTCATTGATCTAGACGAGACAGAGCCTGGTCCTGGTGAGTGAGCGACGTAAACAATCACGTATTTACTCGTAATAACACATGACATTAAGTAAACAGCTCAACAAACCTTTGAATTGTCCGGTCAGAGGATTTGGCTGACGTGCTGGACGATGTGGACTTTGAGGAAGACCAGGGTAACGCGGACGATGAAGGGTGGGAGACGGAGGATGAGATGGAAGCGGATCAAGATGACAGCGAGCTTACATTTTCCAGTCATAAAGGTAACTCAGTTTAGTTTGCCTTCACGTACAGTATATATTACTGATTTGGGATTTTTTTTTTCTTTTTTCTCAAGGTTCTGTATTCTGTGTGAGCTTGGATCCTGTCACCAACACTATGGCAGTCACTGGGGGAGAAGATGATAAGGCGTATGTCTGGAGAGTGACTGATGGAGAGGTCCTTTTTGAATGTACAGGTGAGTTAATAACACTACAAGTTTTGTGTTTGTGACATTATTCTGATTTCAGATGGAGCACAAGGGCCAATTTAACTGTTTTTGGAAGAAATTATCAAACCTTCTGGGGTTGAATATTGACATTACTTTTTGAAAGGTGAAGGCCTGTCATGGTAAATACTATATTGACTTATCGTTCAGTACATGACAGCTGGAACAAAGCATTTTGGGGCTTAATATTTTGTATAATTTAGTACATTTTCTTTGTAATAAAGAAGAATAGCATCAGCTTGTCTGCACTAATGGGGATCCTATCAATAAACCTTAAACAAAAGGGGGAGTGTTTTGTTATTTTTGGAGTAATACGAGAACATTTGAGCTGTTGACATTGAATGAGGAACTTTTATGGCTCCTTCTGCTATTTATTTGTTGCAGCTCATGTTTTTTAATGATACACTGTTTAAAAATGGCTTACTGGAATTATCTTATGCTTACTTGTTATTGTGTCAGTAGTTTTAATATTATTGCTTATTGTTATATTTCTCTGTTGCAATAATCGTGCTTCAAAATTTGTTATCGTGACAGCCCTACTCGGGTGCAAAAATAAAATGACCTTAGTTCAGTTGTGCTGACAGAGATGCGATTGAACCATGTGCTAGTTTTTGTTGCATGTGAATAGGCCTAGTAATTAAAGAGATATCATAAACAAGGTCCAAACATCTGCATGGCAAATTCTCCCATAGAGTCCTGACCTGTGCTCCAGCTCAGTTTTAAACAGTGTGTAATGTGATACTTTTGACAGTTGTTATTAATGTTACTTTCTCTATCCCGTAGGTCATAAAGACTCTGTGACCTGCGCCTTGTTCAGCCATGATTCGGCCCTGGTTGCTACTGGAGACATGAGCGGAATGATCAAAGTCTGGAAAGTGGAAACCAAAGAGGAAATCTGGTCATTTGAAGTTGGGGATCTGGAGGTAAAGATTTATGTCTACTGTAATACCTTTAAGGCTCAATAATTGTTTTGCTTTTTGTGAGTAAAGAGTTACTTGCTGTAAACATTATGCCACAGATCAAATGTAATCCCCCTATAATCTATATTTAAACTGTTGGATTTATTGCAATGTCAAATCATATTATTACAGTAAGTAAGTGAATAAGTAAACCCTATCATTTTAATCTTTGTTAAATAAGGCCCTCTAACTTCTCTGATGTTTAAACTAGTCTTGTTTAAATTTGAATTTGTGATTGTTTATAGTATAAATAATAGTGTTTAGAGTCAGGACATCTGAAAGCACTTGTGTGGAGCCCTTTTTATTGGGGGTGAAGGAATTTATGAGTAAATGAAGGATGACCACTGAGGGTTGTGTGGGCGGGGGGGCAGGGAGATCAGACAGTCTCCCCTTCCCGGACCACTTTTGCAGACTTGCTCTTTAGCTAGCCCATAATCGCTGTATTTAAGTGCCGCCTGCTAACCGCTAGTTTAATGTACGGCTGAATCTAAATGAGGAGAATGATTTTAAGTGTGTGTAAAGTAGTTGTTAAATTGCACTGGTTTCCTCTTCCTCCTCTTCGTCCGTCTGCAGTGGTTGGAGTGGCACCCGTGCGCTCCGGTGCTGCTGGCGGGCACAGACGATGGGAACGTGTGGATGTGGAAGGTCCCGGCAGGAGACTGTAAAACCTTCCAGAGCGCGGCGTGCCAGGCCACCAGCGGTAAAGTGCTTCCTGATGGTGAGACACTGGGAAGAGTATACAGGAAGTTTATACAAATAATTGGAGTGTTGATGTGATGTCATAGATTTTCTAAAGGGACTGTAGTAAAGATGAGTTAAAGATGAGTTCATTGCAAAAAAGATAAGTGCTATTTGAAAGAATTGTCAAAAGCTTAAAATCATATTTAGCACTGTTTTGAATATCATTTATTTTAGTGGGATAAAAATATTATGACGTTCCCTTTTCAGCGAATCCCCACAACTATACTCATGTTAATAATATGGGAAGAGGATGGTATCAAAAAGGGAAAAAAAACTGAGATATTTGTTTTTTGCTTAAATTATATTTTAAGTCAATATCTCTGCAATTACTAGGGCAATTGACATGAAACATAAAGTGGTACAAATAAGGTGGATTTTTTACTACACAGTGTAACCAATAGTGCCTTATTTTCATGTATTCTAATGAGATTTATCTTTTCTCCTTCAGGTAAACGGGCTGTGGTAGGATATGAAGATGGGAGTATTCGCATCTGGGACTTAAAGCAGGGGAACGCAATCCATGTCATAAAAGGTGTGGTTTTAATTTCATGTTTATTGTATATTTAGTTTTTGTCTAGCTATATTACTCAATTTCCATTTACTTTGTGCTGCTTATAGGTCAGGATGGACACCAGGGAGCGCTCACCTGTTTGGCTTGCAATAAAGATGGCTCTCTGGTGCTGACAGGCTCAGTGGATGGGGGCGCTAAACTCATCAACACTACAACAGGCAAGGTGGGTCCTGCAATGACATGATATAAGTATAAAGATCAGATTGAATGAGGACATTTAAAGAAAGTTTGGTGGTCTTGTGCATAGGTGCTGGGAGCTTTCACTGTGGACGGAGTGGCCAAAGGTTCAAAAGATGGAGAGGAGGAAACCAACTCAGTGGAGTCTGTGGGGTTTTGCAACATGTAAGTAACAATGTGTATCAGCTGAAACTATAACAGGAGTTAGTTAATATTACAATAAGAATAGCCGATATACTGCTTAAGTGTGAATGGTATTTCTAATTTTGTGCTCCCCCATGACTGGTGGAAATACCAGGTCTAAACCAGGTCTAAATCTGGACTTTAGCAGGTCTAATCTAGGAGGAAACAAGGTCTACACCATGACTTAATAAATTGTAAGGAAGGACTAACTGACTCTTGATTAAACAAACATTCAGACAGCAGAGGAGCCCGCTTACCACCAAAGGGAGCGTGTACAACACAGGTTGAGAACCAGTATTCTAACTGATTTAATGATTTCAATCAAAAGAGTGGTTGAAAGATAATATTTGTTTGAAACAATTTAAGTTAACACTATTTTTGGTTAGTAATTTTGCTTTTGTGTTTAGACTGCCTCTTATTGCTGTGGCCTACCTCGATGGAACCCTGGCTATATACGACCTCTCCTCACAGGTCCTCAGGCACCGCTGTCAAGATGAGGTGAGCTCTGAGTGCTAATATCAGAAAATATTATTAGTATTATTATTATTAGTACTGATAGTATTATTAGTACTGATAGTATATATGTTGCTCTTACTCAGTCTTCTGTGTCTTTTATACCTCCAGGCTGGTATAGTTCACTTGCAGTGGGAGGAGTCCTCTTCAGTAGTGTCCACGTGCAGTCTGGATGGAGCTCTGCGTTTGTGGGATGGACGCACAGGAAACATGGTGTCAGAGTACCGCGGGCACACAGCCGAGATTCTGGACTTCACCATCAACAGGTAATGTGTTGTACTATTACTATAGCTAAACAATAAACTGAAGAGTATTGTTACTTTAAAATTAGAAAAGTAGAAGCACAATGTAAGAGACTGGAATAACTACTCAATTACTTTTTTTTTTTAAAGAAACAAAAAGCATATTACTTATTGTACTTAGTAGCTGTTTGGACATACAACTTTAAACCAGACATCAGATGTTAAGACAAAACATTAAACAATGTACTGATTTTGTTAGTTCAAAAATAGACCACATTTGCCAACATGTATTCTTAAAATAAACCTTATATCTGTGGGAAGAGTAACCAAAAATTGAATATTACAGTATAGTGTGATGGCACGTGTGATGAAATGTTTTGAAAAGATAATAGTCAACAGACTAAAATCTGAAGTTTGTCTGTACCTTGACCCATTGCAATTAGCATACAGACAGGGCCTCAGCACAGCAGATGCACTCATCAGTTTTTTTGCACCTGATCTGTAAACATTTGGAATCTCCCGGGACTTATGTAAGGGTCTTATTTGCAGATTTCAGTTATGCATTTAAGACTGTACAGTCTTTTTTGTCCAAAAACTGTTTGACTTGCATGTAAGTCCTGCACTTGGTTTTAATCTCTTAACAAATAGATCACAACGAGTGAGGGTCAACAGTACTTTAGCCAAAGCCAAAAACTGTAGTACAGGTGTACCACAAGGTGCAGCATGTTCACCTGTTTTGTTCACCCTATGTACAAATTAATACCATAACAGTCAGCCAGGTGAGACGGATCTCATCCATTTAACAGAAATTCTTCCATCAGGCAGTGTTTTTAACCTGCGGGCCGTGTGCCCAAAATTTGGAACAATAAAATTTATCTTTTCTTATCTTAACTACTTTGAGGAGTACATTTTCTCAAGTAAATGTAACTTTGTAACTGACCCACCTCTGTGTAAAATGTTATTTGATCCATTTGTGTATTGTGCAGAGAGGGAACGATGGCTGTGACCGCTTCAGGGGATAACCAGGCCAAAGTCTTCTGCCTCCAGAGACCGGATCGATAAACTGCAAAAGAAAAGACAAGCATATGTTATTATAAGGAACTCTAATAATAATAATAATAATGACACAGAGAAGAAATCTCTTCCTTCTGATTTTAAATGTGACCTGCTTTAGTCTGATTGTAGCATCCTAATTGCTGTTTTATCAGTTTGATAAAGAACAGGAGCGGTCTGTCTGGATAATTATAAATGACTTGAGATTCAAAGACTAAACAAGAGTATTCACCAAACGTGATGCATTCAAGCATCATTTGTTTCTCGTGAAAGATAAAACCTGATGCTTCCTAATATATCTGTTTGGATTTCATTATTTGTTTATGGTTTGGATTGATCCTGGAGTTCATAGTTTGTTTGTGGTCTGGACTGATCCTGGCAAATTCCTCATGTAAATACAGAAAGAATATAGTTTAAGAATAATTTTGCACCACAACTATTATTATGTTATCTCTTTATTCCCATTTGAAAATAAAACCCAAATGATGGTCTATTTGTGTCATTGTTTATTACTTTGTATTATGAGGTTTATTCTTAGTTACACTGGGAATGGGTACGGAACTTCATTTAATTCAAGTGCTTTTATATTTAGACTAGCTCTCAGATAGAAACCAGATAAAATAGTGAGTCAAGATGTTGAAGTCCACTAATGTATCACATCTGTCTTCGTAGTGCTCTATATGACAGGGAGTTATTACTCACTTCCGAAATCACAGTTAAGATCATTATATTTAAGATTTAACAAAAGATTTCATGTTTTTTTCTGCCCAGTTTTTCAGTGTTTTCTTTTTGTTGTTTTTTTCTTTCCTGCTTGGAACACTAGGCGATTCTATGACTGTTACCTAGCAACCATATTGTACATTAGCTACTCCTCTAATCTACACATTAATTATTATTTGACTGAAAATTTTTAAGAAAATACCTTTATTTTGTTGAAATACAGTTTTAGAATGTGAAAAATGTGTGTTGTAAGTTCATAGAAATATTGTGCGGAACTTTTGGACAGAATTCTCTATAGTGTGATGTCGTCAATATGGAACTCCGAATGAGAACGCTCCACTTCCTGTCATGTCAAACATATCTTTCAACCACTCTTAGCAAATTGGTTCTTGTTTGCTGTAAAATTATCATTTATATTTATAACAGGTATAATCCCACCAAATTAAGTAAAATGTTGAGAATCATAAAAACCTATCATACGCAGTTTAAAATGGTTCAGTTGTATCACAGAGTAGTGCCACATATTAAATCATTTCATGCAATTTATGTTAAGCCAGGCATGTGGAGCTGTTGCTACGCCAATAACAGACCAGTGTGGCATGAGAACATGTACACATTAGCCCCACTGTATATAATTATTAATCCTATGCATAAACGTACTGCGATTAATATGGAAAAGGTTCATGGAATAATTTCTTATAATTGGTTTAATGCCTGTGTCTAGGTCTTTCATTCTGGTGAGTCAAAGCGAGTTAATGAACATTGGGACTTTTACTGGTCACTTAAGGATGTGACTAACCCAAAGTTTAAGTATCAGTCACGACTAGTGACGTGTTTGATTTAAAGCACTGCTCTTCCTGTCTTCATCCTGTGTCTAAGTGAGTCTTCCTTGACCCTGCCTTCCATTGTAGGTGTCTATTGTCACTGTCCCACTTTTAAAATGTGGACTGAACTAAATCCAGAACTAGGATTTTAAAATATGTTGTTTAAAGGTGCACTATGTAACTTTTCTGATGGATGGACCGTTACCTGCTTGTGGAGATGTTATGGCTTTTTACCTGGAATGTTCCACGGTATTGTATTGGACTGATCTATTTTCATGGAGACAAGCAGGTCACGACTCATGTCACCAGGTCAAGTTGCAGGGCAGATCTGTTGAGGTGAAGAATGCTTATTTGCCAAGTTATGATTTTAGCAATTAATGCAAATGTAATGACATTCTGTTGAATTTTCAGGCAACATCTTCAAAGAGACAGTTACACAGTACACCTTTAAAACGGACTAAACTGACTATCCATCTAAAGGACATTTTGTATGCACAATTAAACAGATAAAAGAGGTTTAGCAAATTCCTCCCAGGTAAATTTGAATCCCAGTTGTGTATGTGTGTGATATGGCCTCTACCAAGTGAGCTACACCAACAAACACCTAAAATTTTATTGTAGAGTAGCATAAATGCCTTTTTAGTGTAGTCCAGATGTTGATTTCTAAGCAGTCTCCTGAATCCTCTCTCGCCACCTGTAGGTAAAGTGATACAAATTCATGGTTATTATAGATAATGTAATAAGTACAAGAGATAAGGTTAGTCTTACCACCCATTTATTTGTATTAGAATAAGAAAGAACACACATGTACTTTATGACCATTACCAATTCAATTACAGCAAGTACAGGCTGTTCTAACGATTACAGTGAATGTGAAAGAACAAAATCCGTAGCTAACATGATAGATCCTTTGTTCAATAGAGTTTTTATGCTTTACTAAGAAGACAGACCAAGGTGATGTCATTTTAAAGACATTTTGCGGTTATGTGGTGATCATTCCAAGAATTATCTTTTGAACAGAGTATGTTGTTGCAGTGTCCTGTCCAGACTGTCCTCCCTGGTTAGCGTCTGGGGAACGTTATGTTTAAAGCCATTATCTGACTGGAGCTCATCCATCTGAGGCACCTGGTCCCCTCCAAGCTATCAGTGAAAAGTTCTTCCCTGTTTGGCAAAGGCTCGCTCTGTTTAAAGATGAGGCCTGGATGACAGCTGTTTTCAATCCATCTCTACACGTTGTTGTTTGAATGTATACACCCAAGTCAGGTCTGGACCAAAGAAAACTACTGTACCTGTTCAAATATGTGTAACCTACTAAGAGCAAGTTAAAGATGCACTGCGGAACTTTTCTGGCGGGGGTCCTCTAGCTGCTCCGTCTCCATGTTGTTTCTTTGCCTTTTATTTAATCACTGGAGTTTTCATTGCTCAAAATACCTTGAAAACACGCATCCTTACTGTGAGCGGGGTTGTCGTTCCACAGATCTGACCTGTAACCCAATGGAGCTGCTTGTCTCTACAAAGATGGATAGTTTTAATGCCATACTACGGAACAAAGCAATAACATCTTCATGGAGACAATCAGCTTTGAGGCAACCGCTGTACAGGCTTTAACTTGATTGAGATTATGTGATGTCTTATCTTTCTGAGGAATCCATTGTTTAAAATTGAGCTTGAGGGGACATAGGAATTCTGTGGTATAAATAAATATGCAGCTAAACTGTCAATCTGCCATCTCTGGTCTGAAAACTGACATGGAACAAAAACAAAAGTCAATGTCTTCTTTTTCATCTTGAAGTGAAAGAATCTTGAAGTTATTTTAGTCCTATAGCATCAAAAAGCAGCATGGTCATTTAGTTTGGCGTTATTTTTATCCATATAAATCTGAGAAAAAAAAACTGGTCTAACATTTGCTCTTTTTTGGATTGCAGATTTCTTATGAAGCTTTGCCCATATAGAGTTATTCTGACTAAACATCTGAAAATGTCATAGTAATAGACTTTTCTTTTTTTTTTAATACCCACTATTCAAAATTAAAACGTTTAAGCTGATTTTTACAGTGTAGAAGATGGATAAAAAATTTGAATGTACCATCAGCGCTGTCTGTATTTGGTAAAGAAGAAAATACTGAACATATTTCCATAAATCACATTTCATGGATTTTCCAGAAGCAGTTTGGAATTACGGTACAGAGATTAGAGCAGATGCCATGAACATTAGACTGGAATGTTCTTAGCTTATCACTGAGACCCTATAGCCAAGATAACAGGCTCTCTCCTTTTTAGTATTTACTAATGAGCGCATAAACGTTCTATAACCTGTATTATAAAAATGTAAGAAGTAGCCTGCGCTACCAACACTAGAGTTAATTCAGGGTCAGGAAAAAGCAGTGTTGTTGTGGTTGCCTCCGCCCTCTTGTCCAGTCCACACTTCCCCTTTAAAGCGTCTCACGAGGAGGAACTGCCTTATACTTGGTCACTCTGTCCTCTGGGTTAAAAGGTGGCTCCAAGCATCTAAGGATAAGAGTAAACAGAACATGGTGGACTCTACAATTAGGAATTTGACTTTTTCCATGGCTTCGTGGTTGTTATCTTTTGGATATTTGACCCATAAAGGTAATTACTTTATCAACTTATTGTAAAAATGTGTGAGTATTAGAAATTTATATATATACATTTCGTATTTATGGTTTAATATGGTCTTCAAACACTGTACTTTGATACCATAAACTTGTTTTAAAATTTCTTGCTGCCTTACGATTTCCTAGATTTACCTACGTTTGGTCTCGTCTAGTGTCTCTCCTTTCAGTAAATGTATTGCTTTGTGACTGATAATAGCGACAAAAGACAAGTGTAACTCCAGATTCCCTGTTGATAAATTATTCAATGGCAGTACCGATTAGATCTATTAGGATGTAACTTCCATTGTTCCGTTGTGTTTTGGTTAAAGAACAACTCAGTGCTGGCTACAATTGATTTTTCCACATATGCCAACACAAACTATTTGGGAAAAATACGCACTGAACAATTAATAGATTTCAAGCTATGGCCACAGTTTAGTTTCGACTGTATCAGAAAAGTATGAAGATAATACAGTTGGTAGTTAAATTCCTAGTTTTAAGTTCACAAAATAAATTTAAGTTGACCTTTGACGTTCTATAACAGATTAACCTTGATCTGATTGGAGCACCAGAAGAACCAATCTGATCCTCAGCCATGGATTTGGAAGATGATATTCTGTCCAGGAAGGGTCTTATCTACTCCATCACCATCCCCCTCTCCACCTCCATCATCCTAGCCAACCTCCTCATCATTCTGGGCATCCTTTTCAACCGGCAACTCCACAACACGCCTAACTACTTCTTCCTGAGTCTCCTCGTGGCAGATATGTGCACGGGTGTGGCGTTACCTTTTATACCTCTGATGGCTCTGAACCGGGAGTTGAGCTTCGGTTCGTGCATGGTGGTCCACATCTTCCCAAACTTCCTCTTTTTGGCGTTCCTTTTCAACCTCGTCATGGTGCACTACGAGAGGTACATTTGCATCTCGGACCCGCTTCACTATGGAAACCTGTGGATGCATAGGAGTTTTCCGTTAGCCTTGTTTATAGTATGGGCACCTCCGCTTTTGTACGCCTCCTTGCCTGCATTTGGGTGGAATAATTGGACCGGAGCTGATTGGGATGGGTGCTATGAGGATAGTCAAAGTTTAATATCAAACTGCACAACTAATGGTACTGCTTGTTGTTCCTATAAGAGAGTCTTCACCAATGAGTTTATCTATTTGGAGCTATACGGACTTGTCCTACCTGCTATTCTTACAATCGCTGGGATGACCGGGCGTGTACTCTGTATCACTAAAGGACAACTGAATGACATTTGTCGTCTACACAGATCCGTGCAGAGAGGAAATAAAGCCTCAGACAGAGAGCAGAGGTTGAATATACGCTACACTCGATGCGTAGTGGCAGTGTCCCTCACCTTTTTAGCATGCTGGGTCCCCTACCTCATTTACATGCATGTGTGTATTGCATTTTTGCTCAGTGATACAAGATGGAACTCTACCACTCACATAATTCTGTCGTGCACAGGGAATGGCAGCATGGCCGTGGTGCCCTTGGTCCTGGGCCTGTCCAATAAGCAGTATACTGAGCCGGCGTACAAGCTCCTGCAAAAAATAAGGGACAGAGTGAGGAGGAAAGCAAGGGACTCTAGTGAAGTTGCAGTTTGAGAGTACAAATGGAAGCAGTTTTGTCATGTTCAGTTAATATTAAACTTTGACAGTAAAAGAATTAACAATATTTTTGGGGGTTAAATGTGAACTATGTAACTTTTCACCTGCTTGTCTCTGAGCACGGATGTCCGATGTTATGGCATCGACTAGAATATTCCATAGTATGGCATTCAATGCATCTATCATCACTGAGAAAAGGCCAAGATACAGATTAGACCTCCTGAGTGGTGAGTCTAGTATGTGTTTCAAGGTTGTTTTTTCAGAATTAAAAATAGTAGTAACTGAATAAATACAAGGTACGTTTAATGCCATACTGTGGAACATTCCAGGAAAAGTAATGATACATGAAAAGTCGAGTCAAGTTGAGTCAAGTCTTTAACAGCGGTGCAGTGTTTTATCATCATATGTTAAAATATTCAAAAGATAAATGTATTTCTCAGTGAGTAAAATTTGGTAAGTAAATGATGACTGACAAAGTTGCATAAATTGACAGACCTACTGTGAAATAATGTGTCAATTTTTTTTGTAAATTTTTAAGTAAATATTATTGATTGTACAGTGAACAGTGTGTACACGGGAAACGTTTACATTACACTGTGACACCATGTGCTTTTAAATGTACACAAATACATCATGTGAGCGGAAAGGAGAGAGTGAGTAGGCTATAGTGATCCAATTAGGAAAAAGACCTTTAATGAAGTTAAAAGTGAACAGAGTCTGACCTGTGCGTGTCATTGGGGCAGATGGGTTATCGGCACAGGGAGCCAGGCCCTATTTGTTAAGTCTGCCTTGTTTAAAAATGGTACATGCATAGCTTTCCATACACAGCGGAGTAATCTAAACATATGTGACAGGAAAGACGGAGGAAAATGAGAGCAGGAAACTCAATAACAGTTACAACAAAAGACAAGCTCACAACTTTTGTTCACATGGTTTATTCAACTATGTCAATGCAAATTAGTCATTTCATGCATTTTTACACAGTATGTAAACTTGTTTAAGTGTGTTTCCACAGACAAACACTTGCACAATGTCAGTTTTGATTCAAGGGAACTTTATCTGTTATTTGTCCTGACAGATAGAGTGACATAAACAGAATGGTAAGCGAAGTCTCATTTTTACATTTCATACTTGAAACATTCCCAAACATAGTCAAAACTTTCTATATGCCACAAACACACAGCAGGCTCATATCAAGAACATTTGAATACTTAAGGAGCATTGATGAGGGTTTAAAATACAATATTATGGTGAAGACTTAGTACAAATTGACCACCTGGGAAAAACAAACAAACAAACAAACCAACTATGATGTTTGTTAGTCAACCAAGTTAAAATGTGAATTTGCATTAAAAAAAACACTGATATAGACTGAAATTTTGACTTCACATATGTGGATATTTTAATATATCGCTGCTCCCTTCATAGTTTTTGGGGCTCAGTCTTCATCTTCATAACAGGAACTCTGGGACACAACCTTCCCATTTTCCACATCTACTCGGATCAGCACGCGTTTCTTAGAGGAGTTGTAGGGAAGCGGCATTTTTGTCGGGATAATGGGAGTTTGAGGGGTTGTATCTTCTGACAGTGGTTGCAAAGGTGTCTTCTCTGGTGACTGTGGCTTCACTGGTGGCTGAGCGTCTGCGTGTAAGTAAGTTGGTTTTAGAAATCTGAGCAAAAAAAAGGTTTAATTTTAGTGGGAAATAAAATCATTACTGGAATGCTTTTACAAAATACTGCTGCACATTATAATTTGGTCTGCTACTTGTACCCTACTTTTGGTACAGTTTTTTATCTAAATCATGTTATTAACAGCAGTACATTATTTCTACCACTAGAAGGGAGCCTAAAATACACAAACACACGCTTCATGCAACTTTACTATCTAACTTTTACTATCTTGAAACACTAAACAAGAGAGCATTTTTATAAGGACCCATATTATGCTTTTTTCTCTATGTTATAATGTTTCCTCATCACAAACAAATATGTATGTATGTTTTTAATGAAGTAACAGCATTATAACATGATTTAAAGCCCACAAGAGACAATTTTGTGTAATATAGGACCTTTATATTTAGTTAGAGCATGAAGAATTGTGGTGAAAAATGTTTAAATTGTCTTTACCTCCGTTGCGCATTAGTTCATTCATCCTGAAAGAAAAAGGAAATGCTTTACACATTTGCATCACACCAAAAAACGTAAACTTAATTTTATTTTATAATATTCTCTTACCTCTTTTCCTCTCCCTCCAGCAGTTTGCGATAGGTGGCGATCTCAATATCGAGAGCCAGTTTTAGGTTCATAAGGTCCTGGTACTCGCGTAGAAGTCTGGCTAAGTCCTGCTTGGCTCTTCGCAGCGCTTCCTCCAACTTGGCCTTGTCTCTTAGGGCTGTTTCTACTCCCTCATCCCCTTCAACTGTCACAAGTTCTATCTCCCTCTTTATAGATACTTCCTATATTGAAATAGTACAAATGTTAGTGGTTATGTACATGATATTTGGTCTTTTTGGTGTTTTTTGTCACTATGATAAACGTACCCTCCTGGTGAGTGTTTCCAGTTCTGCTTTGAGCCTCTCCACCAGACGCTGCATGTCAGAGATGTCCCTTCTCATCTCACGCACTTCGCTCTCACGTTTCCCAGCCGTGTAGACCAGTTCATCAATCTACAAATGCAGATATAAACAAGTTGAGCTGTGGGGATTATTATGAGTGATTTCAAGGGATTGTTGCGTGTTGTACCTTCTTCTGGTTCCATTGGTCAGCCTGGTCCCTTGCACGGGCAGCCATCTCTGCATATTGTTTCTTAGCATTTTCTATGATTTCATCCATGTCAAGCAAGCGATGGTTGTTATCACGAATGATTAAGGTCTCATTCTGGATCAAAGACTGCAGCTCTTTGATTTCCTGCAGGAACGAAAAGACAAAAAAACTTTTGTTATAAGTCATCATTGCCAAAATATAGAAAAATGTAAGCAAAGACTAAATACTGACCTCATCAAATCCAACTCTAAGGAAATCCAAATTTCCCATTTGATCCTCCAGCTCCAGAGCTAAATCTACTGCCTTTAAGTGACCATCATCTACTTCCTGAAAACAAAGAACAGCATTTTAATCTTTGCAATAATAATGATAATAGTCCACAGTTCAGAACAAAATAAAATGCGCTATTTTCTATTAAAAAGATGTACCTTTTTGGCAATAATAAATTCATTTTCAAGGTCATTTTTCTTCTGAACTTCATCATGGTACCTAAAAGTCAAAAGTGATTCAAAGTTTTAAAAGTATGGAAATAAAATGCATTTTATAATAGATTCTAAATTTAGTGGGACAGCTGACTTGTTTTTGGTGTCATCCAACTCGCGGTCCTTGTGTTCCAGTTCGTCCTGCAGTTTTTTCTGGTCTCGGAGCAGGTTTGCGATCTGCTGCTCCAGCTCATCCTTCATCTGCTTCACCACCTCATCCACTTTGGCCTTGTAGTCCTCCTGCTCCTTTAAGATCTTCAGCTTTGTGTCAAGCTTTTTGTTCTCATTCTCCAAATGTTTCACCTGTCAATGAAGAAATGAATAAAGAAGTAGACAGAAAACGGTATGCAATTCATAAAAGCAAGCACATGGTGGCGGTGTAGACGCAGTGAGGACATTTGTGTAAATAAATTCCAAAAGGCTGTTTTCATGGCCTAAGGCTTAGGATTATAGGCTGCAGTGACTAGACTAATTACTCCATGCGTAAAAATTGTCTAATCAACACATCAAAGAGATTTATCAGTTATTTGTATATTGTTTCTATAAAGATAAAATAAAATAAAAACTAAAGTCATATTGCAAATAATTAGAGTCTATAATTGTTGCATTTCACAGGTACACTACAAATTCGCGAAACTAACTTAACTTAGTAATTTATTAAAGCATAATGCATATATTTGTAAATAGACCGTAGATTTTAAATATCAATATTAATATTAATAAACAATATCATCGATCTTATTATACTTCCATGAAATGTCATCGTCAGAAATGATAACTTTTCTTCATTAATTGCTTACCTTGTCTATGAGTTGGACGAACTTGTCGTTAAGCCCCACCATATCGTCCTTATCCCTGGACTTGCCCGGGACACTGGCGGCCCTCTTGCTGCCTGGAGCGTAGGACTGGCTGCTGAAGTCTCCGGGTTTGGACATATTGCTTTTGTGTGTGGCAAAAACACCTGGAGCTGAAGAAATGCCCAAAACGCCCTAAAGAGCACCTTTTAAGGTGGACAGGGGCCACCCATCACCTCCCAACTCTCGGCAAGGTATCCAATCACGAGACGCCAAGTGCAGAATTCCAGCATAAAAATTAAAAAAGCTACACGTTCAACTTGAAAATCAGCTCGAGACCAGTCTGGTCTCCAGTGGCGGTGTCCAGTGGGAGCCAATGGCATCACTGGGGCAGGATTTACAGGTGAAGGGCAGGTATAAAACTTACCTGTGCTGTCTGCAGGAAACAACTGCAGTCAACTGTCTTCAGACGCAAACTGCTCTCTCATCTCAAAGACATCATGCCCAGGAACTCATCCGCCAGTGTGTACGGAGGGGCCGGAGGAAGAGGCGCCAAGGCATCCGTGTCCAGTCTGGAGGGCCTGCGTAATGTCATGCGTAATGACACTGAACGGGACTCTCCTGTGCCCGCCGAAGCTCCCATCAAGCAAACGGCTGCACCCACCAATAAAGCCGCCCCTCCAGCTGCCCCCGCGGACGACAACCATACACTGCGAGGCCTGAACAATAGGCTGACCGGCTACCTGAACCGAGTGAGGCAGCTGGAGAAGGAAAACAAGGCTCTGGAGGATGAGATAGAGGAGATTTTGGCCAGGAGGTCAGCTCCAGATGGCCGTGACTGGGACGAGGTTCAGAAACCACTGGATGATCTGAAGGACAAGGTAGGCAATTGTGTCTGTATATTTTTGCCTAATTCGTTTATTTTAACATACAATCTAAATACAATTAATTATAAAATACAATTTCTTTATGTCTCCCTGCAGATAAAAGAAATCACAAAGGAAAATGCCAAGCTATTACTGCAGATTGACAACACTGATCTAGCCAACAATGATTTGAAGAACAAGTAAATACATGATTCATTTCACTTTAATAGCCTATGTAAATGTGAGTGCTGTAAATCTTACTGTATTTGCCATATCCAGACTGGATGATGAGAAGAAAGCAGTGAAGGCCATAGAGAAGGATCTGGAAGAACAGAGGAGGACCATTGATGAAACCAAGTTGAAATGTGCCCATCTGGAAAAAGACATTGAGCTGGTGAAGACTGAGATTGAAAACCTGAAAGATGAACACAAAGGGGTAAGTTTATACAATTAAACATTATAATTCCACAAAACAAAACCATTAATGTTTTGTGTATGTGTCTCTAGGACGTGGCAGACCTGCGGGACAGGATTAAGGACTCAGAGGTCAAAGTTGAAATCGAATCATCTGATTCCAACTTGACAGAAGCTCTGAACAAGATTCGCAGCCAGTACGATGATTTGGTGAAAAAGACTGAGAAAGAAACAGAGGATTGGTATCAGAGCAAAGTATGTTAGTAGTAACTCAAGACATCTCAAAGTTTTCAAATAGATTTTCATGAATATATTGTTTTATTTTGTCAGTTCAAGACCATCAAAGTTGAGGAGGCGAAAAACACAGAAGCCATGATGAAAAGCAAAGATGAGTTTAAGGATTTGTCAAAGGAGAAGCAACTACTGGAGATCAAAATCCAGAGTATGCACACTACGGTAAATACACAATGTCTGACAATACACATTCTTTAACTCTCATAACACTGCATTATGTCAGAAATGGGACCCCTACAATTACAACTACACCCTCGGGGCAGTCTTCCTAACCCTGTCATTTTGTTCAAGCCAGCTGGATTCTTTCTTTACATAACAAAACAAAAAAATATGCCTCAACATGTCAGAATGCAAAAAATGATGCACGGGCTACATATAGTTACTCTACTTATTTTTTTTATTTACAGATTTACAGTTTGGAGCAAAACATGAAATCGACCAAAGTGGATTATGGAATTCGCTTGGGTCCTCTGAACAAAAAGATTAAAGATCTGGAGGCTAACTTAAAGGAGTTCAGAAATCAAGTGGAGAAGCAGCTGGAGAAGAACAAAGATCTTCTACTGGTCAAGATGAAGCTGGAGGAGGAGATCCGCTACTACCAAGAGCTAATGCAGGGCGTCACTGCTGATCCTGACAGGTAACTAAATTAAATGTTACTTTTAAAATTAAAAATATTGCTTCCATATAGCAGCTGCCGCACATATCTGGTTTGTCCCTCAAAACGAGTGCTCTCTCCCTTCTGACAGCTTGGAGTTTTCATTAGAGGAAGCACTGGATGAAGGTAAGATGAAGAAACGGATTAGTCCAAGAACTTAAAAGTGCACAATGTAGCTTTTCACTTCTCCATGGGGATCTTATTGGCTTGCCTGAAACATTCCACAGTATGGTATTAAACTTAATCTTAATGGCAACAAGCAGGTGACGGCGCAAGGCCAAGTTACAGGTCACATCAGACAGCTCTAATTACATAAATGCATGATAGATATGTTTCATGCATTCCAGACAGAGCAATAACATCTCCATGGAAACAAGCAAATGGCAGACCCTACACCCAAAAAGTTGCATGGTACACCTTTAAAATGAAAAATCTGGATGTACTGTGCACCTAATCAAGCAATTCTCCCTCCACCAACGGGATAATGAACTAAACTGCACCATAAAATTGCTGTTGTCACCACTGCATGCTAACACGCCAACTGTCCACTGTATGAAAAAACTGAAATAAATGTTGAAAAAGGTTTACATTTGTACATTTGGTTTGGTTTTCCAGATCAGCCACAGCTCAACAGTGAACCCCTAAAAAAAGAAGCAGAGGAAGAAGTGAAGCAAGAAAGCGCCCCATCTGACAACAGTTCGAGGCCCCCAGAAATTGTAGCCAAAACCGAGACCCCCTTCGAAGCACAAACAGCATCTGAAGTGAATAACACAGCTCCTCCGCCTCCTGTAAGTGATGGGACAAAGAAGAAAGAAAAGAAAACTAAGAAGAGTTCATCTTCATCCTCATCTTCCTCATCCTCCTCTTCATCATCATCATCCTCTGAATCTGAGGATGAAAAACCAAAGAATGAAACTACTGAATAATACTATCACTTTAATAAAGCAATACAAGACCAAAAGATTGAATTTACTTTCTTTCATTTCTTGTGAAACCTCTAAGATATATTGAATGTGTTGTGGCAATATAATAAATACTTGGAAATAATCACACAGCACTGAGTCATAATTTTAAAACATTTTGAAGTGTTTAAATAAATAAAAATTATTATGATGTCTAACAAAAAAAGAAAAGCTTAAACTTAACTTACCACAATTTGTTTCGCTAATGGATGTAATTAAGTATGATATAGTAGATTACAACTCCCCAAAAGCAGCATTTATACTCTAAATTGGGCAGCAGATTTAATCTTGACATAAAATATCTGTATGTAATTTTCAGAAACCATACTACTCCTACTTGAGAAATTTATATTACATTATAACAGTACTCTCAAAACTTTAATGTCAAAGCAAAATTATCTGCATATTTCTTTCTTGTACCACTTCTACTGGATAGATAATTAGGTTTTCTTTAAGTCTATACCAGATACATGTTTTTTTTTTTCTTTCAAATTACAGTAACTTTAATTTTTTCTATAAAAATACAGGTGCAGGTGGTCCTCTTTCAGTTGCACTTCCTACAAAGCATGAGTGTGACTCCCAAATAAATCATGTCAATGTTTATTATTCCCTAAACTTTTTCAGGTCATGCTTTCAAAGTTAGAATGCATTTTTGTAGCCTTTATTGTCCCGTATGGAAATTTGACCTCTGTATCTAACCCATCCTTCAACCATGCCTCACGGCAAATAGGAGTAGTGGGTGACCACAGTGCAGTACCAGAGGCACTCCATCTCCAGATTTATTTCAACAGTAACAAGAAACATAAGTCAAAGTGCGCAGTTTATTGCAAATTGCAATTTTCATAAAATTCTCCTTGAGCCCCTTTTGTTTAAAGATTCAAAAATGTTCCTTAAATACCAAATGACATGACCATAAGGACATGTACATTGTTGTCAATGTATCTTCTCATAAGAAACACAAGGCAGACAAACTTTTTGGAGAGTGATTTATTTTTTTTTCAAATGACAATGGTACAGACGACAAGAAAGCACAGAGGAGAGGTCTGAAACATCCCATAGGTGGATGCCACGGGGTCAGGGGAGGGGCCAAGCTGAGTACCAAATGGAGTCAACGATATCGTATCAAAAATGTCATATTTCATATATATATTTATATAGGACTAATAATTCTCTTTTACTATGCAAAGCAAGGAATGCCCTTTTTATTACAATGAGCAATGGCTTTTCCTAAGGAAAGCCCACATTATTATTCAATACAAAACAAAGAGTGGATTTGTTGATTTGGGGTGCATTTGGAGGCATCCTGGGTCCTGTCTGACGGCGTTCAGTCCGAGTGTGGCGTATTTGGATTAGTCTGGAGGAAGGCGGGGCAGGCCTCAGCGGGAGAACGTTTTTCCACTGAAAGGATCAAAGAACAATGTTTTTTTGGGTTAAATTTCATTTACTCAACAGTTTCCCATATTTGTCAGCAGTGTATTGTTTAGAGGGGAATGGAAATAATAGGGTGTAGCGTCTGATCTAAGGTAAAAAGCAGTTCCAGAGAAATGTGTTTAAGTTCAGAGGAATCTTACAGAGGGCAGGGGCTCTTGGAAGATCATACATGATAAAAAGGCTTTAGTCCTACAGAAAGCAGTAAAAATTCCAATGACACATTTTAAAACAAAATAAAGTCACACACACCCCGAGCACACAAGTTTAGAGTCAGATATGGAGATACATACACACCAATGTTAACCTTGGTCTAGAAGCACAAATTCAAGATCGTCAATAGCAGTGATGTATTGAAGCTACTTACGAGATGGTCTTCATCTCTTTCTTCTCAGCATCAGGTCGGGCACGGTTCAGCACTTTGAGGAAGTCTGACGTCTTGGCCCTCATACGTGTGTGAATGTAGGCCTGAAACACAGCAAAATCACATTAGCCACAAGGGCATTTTGCCAACGATCTGTTTAAGATTGTCACATCTGAAACTTCCATTTTCTATTTTCTCCCCAAAACCAGAGTAACCAGAATGTAATTGACTAATTATACACACATTTTTGTAGTGAAAAATTACAAAGAGCACTTGTCTTTGGTTTCGCAAACACTGATAACAGCTACCCATTATTGTCACAGTATTTGTACATTGTTTGCACGTTTAACCCACCCACTTGTGTCCATAAATTTTTTTCTTTGTCATAATATAGACTCCAGTCTGTCTGCAGTAAAGGGTGATTCTACATCATTCCTGATTCTGTACAAAACATCCCTGTTGTCCTTTAAAGCTAATAAATCAAGAAGTTAGTTACTACACTACTGTGGTACCTGTGTCTAAAGTAAACCTGTGTCTAAAGTAAGTCTTCTTGTTAAGGAAGTCAAGTTGAGGATATGTGTCAAATACTGACCTTGGAGCACTTTATGTGGTAGTGCAGATAGTCCCTGAAGGTGTGAATGAGGTTGATGGTGTTGTCTCTGGCATTGGCATTGGTGTGACGAGGGAACAGCACTGCAAGTACAAGGAAGCCATTACAAAGATTTAAAGGTGCAATGTGTTCTAAAGTGGAGGGCCCGCTACTTGATTGTCTCCATGGAGATGTTATTTCTTTGCCTGAAATATTCCATAGTAGGGCATTAAACTTATCTCCTTTGCATTTGTTTAATTACATGTGCTTTATAGCTCAAAAACCTTAACCTTAAAAAAACTAAAATTCTTACCATGTGCAGGCTTGCTTCTCCGTAGAGAACCTGTCTCCATTGTGATCATCAAGTTTATTCCCATACTGTGCAATAATGAAGGTGTAAGAATAATATCTCCGTATAGAGAGGCAGGTGGTGGACCTTCCACCAAGTTACACAGTATACCTTTAAATGTGTATGTAACAAAGCTATGGACAGGGCTTGTTTCTTTGAATACAAACCAAAAGTGATGTATCCGATATTGTCTCCTACTGCAGCATCCGTGTCTTTCAGCTCCAGAGGAGGCTCCCTGTGGCTGAACAGCACCTGGGGCGCAGTGTGACTGGCTCGCCGGCCCTCCTTAAACTCCTGTATGTGAATAAGGACTTCACTTTATTAAGACTGCTTTTGGAACACACACTATACAGATTCTTGTAGACAAAGAGGGAACCTCAGAGAGCCGCTGTAAGACAAAAATATTCAGGTGGTAGGTGGTAATTGAAGGGGTACGAGAGTTACAACATGGGCCTTGGTGTAATAAATACCTGTCATGTTGGAATGAACTGAGGCAGTTCTCTGAGAATATGCAAATCAAATAGTTAAAGGTCTACAGTACCACACAGTGAATTGTTTGTGTAGGTTCTGTTTCTATAGGAAAAAGTAAGGTCTCTGTAGCCGACACGCACCTGCATGAAGACTTTGCCAATAATGACATCATCATCATCTTTAAAGACTGTGCTGAAAACCACGGTAACTCTGTCCTTCTTGGCCTCCACATACCTACAGAGCAGAACATGTAGTTTTAGGTCAGGTGTACTTAACAATCACATAAACACATCTCACTATGCAAAACAGCTCAAACAAAAATTAAACTTGGCTTGAAAGTGCCGTACATAGACTCGTCATCTCTGTAGTGAACAACGGCCCTCTTCTCTCCTTCTTTGCCTTCTTCCTGGAACTTAAAGTATTTCTCAAAGACAGATGCGAAGCAGTTTCTTTTCAGAATCCCTGCCTGGTGGATGACCTCATCTTTGTTGGCTGGTAATGCTTCCAGGTCATATAGAAGAGACACATTGTAGCCTGGCAACCACAAAATAGTCTCATTACTGATCATTTTATTTTCATCAGAGACAATGTTTTTTATATATGAAACTTTAAATACAAAAATATAAATCATACCTGCTTCAGGTGCAACCAAGTAGTCCCCATAGACTTTCTTGAGCAGCTGTAAAAATAAACAAAAAGTAATGCCTTCATTATCACAATATCTGATATCTTGACAAATGTGAAACAAAATTTTATCTGTGCAGTGCCTATATTTATAGTTTTACTCCTCAGAAGGAAATCTCACACAAATGTCTCTTTGTGCTGCACAAATAGACCTACGATTGGCACTATGAAAGGATCACAGTCAGTTCATTCACTTATCCCTCTGGACTGGGGCTTTAAAGAAAAACTAGTTGGATGTGAGCCAGTACATTCAGACAGTGGCCGCTGCAGTCAGCACTTCCTCGCCTGAGGTGACTCAAACAACTCACTTCCTGTTTCTAGCAGAAGGCTCAGTAGCTCATTTCTTCCTTACATGGCAAAGGAACTTCTATCACTGATTTTAATAATTCTATAAAAAGTGTTACAATTGTTCTTATCTAATATCTCTTTTTGACCAAATCTAACAAAGCCATGCATGTTATTTTAGATCTTGTACAGTTTGGTAGTGTACCTCATCAGCTCCATGCTCCTGAAGGTCCTTATAAAACTTCAGGGCGATGCTGACCATCAGTTTGCTCTTATCCCCATCGGGGTTGGAAATGTGGTACAGGACGCCATCGAAATCTGCAGCAGTGGAGTCATTTATTAATAGCAAGCACAAACATTTTATTTTTTCCCAATTTTGCAGCCTATACATTTGATTATGTAATCTCTCAAATTAGCAATATAATGACATCAGAGAAATACACTTTATAAGTGTATTTGTTGTAATTACTAATAGATAATGTTATTTATTTCAAATTTTAAAAAATTGTTATTTCCTCATTCCATTTAGTACAACGGACATTATGTAACAAAGTTGTATTTCCTGCCAGGGATGTACATGTACAGAAGCTTCATAATAACATTAATTACAGTTTGAGTTAAATGACAGTGGCTGCAAGTACTCCACCAATAGTTGCATCAAGTGATAGTGTGCATTGTGGTAGTAACAGCGTTTTACCTGCAAAGGTCACTTCCACAGCCTCTGGCTTAGTTCTGCAGGAAGAAGAATTACAAAAAAAGAATTACAATCTATAGCATAATAAGAACACAAAGGATTAAAAAGACTGATGATATTTTA